CGTGTTAGCCCTAACCGAGATACGTACGGAGCTGTGGGGCTCACGTCTGTCTTCCCGTTGGTTATTCTGTCAACGAGCTTATCCATATGTACTTACTCTACTGATTTCCTCATAACTATAACGTAATGTTATTTACCACCTTGTTTATTTCTACTTGCAACGCATATCCTTCAATCCGATCAGCGCGTTGATTAGTGGCAGTGCATGATCTCGGCGATCAGCTGATAGTCGACACTTCTGCTGTTTGCATAAGATTGCGACACTCTTAAATTATAAAACAGCGAAAAGTCAATTTCTTTCGTATTCTGAGTTTCGAGACGATCGTCGGTAAATTTTTCTTGTCTCGTGAGTAGAATCTTGGCTTCAGAAAACTGCATCGTTCCATAACCGTACCTTTTGTGGCGATCGCGTTTTTTAGGAATATTTTTTTTATAGCTTTCATTTGTGGCGACGACAACTTCTATTCGTGGCGACGACAACTCGACGACTTCTATTCGACGATTTCCGGGCATTTTCGGAGCTGCCGTGGCGAGTTCGTCACTGTTTTGAACTTCATTGGTCTCGGGCATGACTTGACTTTAGTAGTCATCTTACCTGACTACTTATTCTCGATGATGTTTTGTCTTCAGCGATGTAGCGAGTACAGCGTCCTTCTCGCGTTCGGTGAGATTTGGGGCCCCCGTAATATTTTGACAGTGACAGTAGTTTTCGTGCTCAGGTTTTGCACAAAAACTACTGTCGCTGTCAAAATATTCTGTTATTGACCGAAACTAAACACACAATCACAGATGTGAAGAGCATTTGTGTCTATTTAAAGTGTTGACTCCTGTTTTTGAAAGTTAAGCGAGAAAATTATTGAATTAGGAGACCTTTCATTCCTTACTCACCGAAGAAATACATTGAAAAGTAGACGCCTACTACAGCAGGTTTTTTGTTTACATTTCTAGATTCCTCACTGTCAATCGTATTCGTCCCTCTGAACGTTCCCTAGTTCGCTCTGTTTGTCCCTACATTTCCTAGGCAAATCCAGCGTTTAGCTAAGGGCCCGTCCGTCAAGCCGGCTTAACGTTGGTGCAACCCGAATTTAAACCAGTACTTATCCAAGCTCGGTTTAGGACGCTAAGCCGACTTAGGAAAGAGCCGCTTTGGGTTAAGGTAAGCGACGTTGGTGCAACCGGCCCTTAGAGTTGTTAACAGCGGCAGCTGGAGTTGTCATGCAGCATATACCCAATGAACTAATAAAATGGATGGGAACACACGCACAAAAGTGTCTTTCATAAACTACATGCATTTAACTGAGTCTTGAGAAGGATTACGGGCAATCGGTGATTGTAACTGACTGTGCGTACCTGCGGCCCCGGTAGTATGAGCCGATATATATAAATATACAGGGTGTTTTACGAAAGGAGGAAAATTCGATATTGCAAAAACTACGCGTCAGAACAAAAAACTCTTGTGTCGTTTTGGTCCTGGGCCAGGGGCCTATTAAAAAAAATTATTAAAGTCCGGGATAATTAGATTGTTAATTATTTTTGCGTAATCGACGTTTTTAATATTGTGTTTAAGGGCATGGTTACAATTAGAAAATTGCTCAGCATCATCAAAAAACACTAAATCAACATATTGCAAAACGATAGAAGACACGCGAAGAATTTTACGACTTTCTGAAAAACCGCAAAAATTCGGCGGGTTTTTATGTTTCGGTTTGCTGTCAGAGCGCATCTCGGCCCCGACGGCACCGCGCCCCGTGGAGAAATAGTGCAAAAAGCCTCCGCTGCGTCGCGCGGTGACAGCGCAGCGACGTTGGTTGCACTAATTCTCCAGGGGGCGCAGTGCCGTCTGGGCCGAGATGAGATCCAATACCAAGCCGAAACTTAAAAACTTGTCAAATTTGTGTGGTGTTTCAGAAAGCCGTAAAATACTTCGCGTGCCTTCTAATGTTCTGCAATTTGTTGAATAAGGGCCGGTTGCACCAACTTCGCTTACCTTAACCCAAAGCGACTCTTGCCTAAGTCGGCTTAGCGTCCTAAACCGAGCTCGGATAAGCACGGATTTAAATTCCGGTTGCACCAAAGTTAACCCGGCTTTACGGACGCGCCCCTAGCTAAACACTGGATTTGCCTAGGAAATGTAGGGACAAACAGAGCGAACTAGGGAACGTTCAGAGGGACGAATACGATTGACAGTAAGGAATCTCGAAATGTAAACAAAAAACCTGCTGTAGTCGGCGTCTGCTTTTCGCTGTATTTCTTCGGTGAGTAAGGAATTAAAGGTCTCCAGATTCAAACTTTTTTTCGCTTAACTTTCAAAAACAGGAGTCAACGCTTTAAATAGACACGAATGCTCTTCACATCTGTGATTGTGTGTTTAACATCGGTCGATAACAGAATACTTTGAGAGTGACAGTAGTTTTCATGCTCACATTTTGAAATAAAGGAGCCATCGGGGGCCCCAAATCTCACCGAACGCGAGAAGGACGCTCTACTGGCTACATCGATGAAGACAAAACACCATCGAGAGTAAGTAGGCAGGTTAGATGACTACTAAAATCATGTCATGCCTGAGACCGATGAAGTTCAAAACAGTGACGAACCCGCCACGGCAGCTGCGAAAATGCCCGGAAATCGTCGAACAGAAGTCGTCGAGCTGTCGTCGCCACGAATAGAAGTTGTCGTCGCCATGAATGAAAGCTATAAAAAATATTCCTAAAAAACGCGATCACCAGAAAAGTTACTGTTATGGAACGATACAGTTTTCTGAAGCCAAGATTTTACTCGCGAGACAAGAAAAATTCACCGAAGATTGTCTCGAAACTCAGAAAACGAAAGAAATTGACTTTTCGCTGTTTTATAACAATATGATGCAAACGGCAGAAGTGTCGACGATCAGCTGAGCGCCGAGATCATGCACTGCCACTAATCAACGCGCTGATCGGATTGAAGTAGAAATAAACAAGGTGGTAAATAACAATTCGTTACAGTTATGCGAAAATAAGTAGAGTAAGTACATACGAATAAGCTTGGAAAGGCAGACGTGAGCCCCACAGCTCCGTACGTATCTCGGTTAGGGCTAACACGCACTGAAAGTGGAGAGGAAACTTGATAACAGGGGTCGATAAACACTTCACGCGACAATATTTTGCATCCTTGTCACAATCGAAGGTCATTCTGTCGAGACTCTCACGCTGTTGCAGCCTAAAAAAACACTTTATACAACCAATTTTGTTCACCGCGTCGACCGCCACAAACCAGCCCCCATGTTTGAAATCTAGGATTAAGAAACAACCAACGTTACTAAAACACTCGGTTGGAAAACTCGCCGCCGAAACCTGGGCCGCAGGCGTCCACCGAGACCGAGCTAAATGCGACAACAGCGCCACTCTTTATCCATTGTCTGTACTGTGGACACCTTGAGCTTTTAGAAAGCATGTTTTTTTGGGTAAAAACAAATGGAAAAGACTCTTTTTGTATGAAATTTATTGGAGTTTGGTACCAAATGATGGTTGCGTGATGTTTTTAAAATTTTTAGGTTGCAGGGTTTCGCGGCACAATGAATATTGTTTTTATACAACCATGCCTCAGCGGGCCTTTCAGGTAGCGCGTCCCGCCCTAGGTGCATTTTAACTCCAATAGCTGAGCGCGGCGCGTCCGCCAGGGATACGAGGGTGGCGCCCCGTGACCTCTACCGCTGTGTCTGTTCTTAGAGCCAAAATAGAAGTCACGTGCAGTTCCTCGAGTGGCCGCTGCGGGAGAAACGGTGGCGTTGTGTTCGTCATTAGCTCGGTGCTCGGAGACAGATTGGGGCCACTTTTTCACAGCTTTCTCACTTTTTCACAGCTTTCTCTATGAGAGTTTCCCAACTGAGTGTTTCAGTAACGTTGGAAACAACCAAAAGCAAAGCGCCCAATGTTGAGCACTTACGATAAGCGTAGTTTAGTGCTAGGTTTAGTGATAAGCGATTTTGGTGCAACTGAACGAAACCGAAACTTAGCTTAGGTTCCCGGCTAAGCTAGGCTTTCCGCTAAGCGGCGTTGCTGCAACCGACCTTTACTGTTTTTTGATAATGTTGAGCAATTTTCTAATTCAAACCATGCCCTTAAACAGAATGAAATAAAAGTTAAATACTCAAAAATAATTAACAATCTAATTATCCCAAACTTTAATAATTTTCCTATATATATATACATATATATATATACTGATGGTAGAGATACCCGTTCTCCACAATAACCATAATGTTGTGCTTTCTTGTTTATACCTTTGGTACCTACACAAAAAACGTATCAAATAAGCAAATGATCACAAGATGGCGTAATCAATAGCGATATGCAGTGTTAGTTTTAGCGCAGGTAAGGGAATGCACATGTCCGTTGGAAATAACTGAGCAAGTCAGAATTCTTACCATTTCATCTGTGCCGAAACTATTGTACTATATAAATCTTTACAAGGCCTTACTATTTTTATCAATACAACAAATAAGTTAATAATGATAAAATGTTTCCACCGATGTTTGTTGTTAGATATAATAATATACTTTTTTTGTATTGGGAAAAAGAGTGAAATAAACTTATACGAAACACTTTCGTGCGCGTGCATGTAACTTGTCTCACTCGATCCCCGTAGAGTTTGTCAAACCAAATTGGAATCCGAAAACAATTGTAGAAGTTTGAAATTTTTGATCAAGGAATAAACAGAACCTTCCAGAAGCTCTTTGAATAGGGTAGCACCTCCAAATGGCATTTGATGAACTCTCATATAAGAATGTACAAGTGGTGTCATGCCGAGTCAAACGGAGTACAATGGCAAATATCTGACGACAGGTATTACAATATTGCCGAAACCAATAATAAATAGTTTTTCGCTCTGGGGATATGTTTCTTCCGGCGCTTAAATTTAACATTTTCATTTCAACAAACTATTTGTTTTATAGCTTAGCACACCTTTTGATATGCCAGCAACTGAGAGTAGAATGCGGACGTTTTTGCTAGGACCAAGTGTGGCATGATAAACCGGCGTAGAGGCTACGACTGTTTGTTTACAGATATGTACAACAGACTCCGACGGATTGGTAAGTCAGTCTAATATAGATAAGAATCAAAATATTCTTGAGTTAATTTTAATTACGAGATTTAAATAACCCAAATAAGTAATGCAAGTTTCGTTTACTGTTTTACTTTTAATGAGTTAAACTGAATTCGAGCATAATGAAAGAATTTGTCGAAAAGTGCCAAAACAGCAAAAATAGAACATAAAAAATTTAATAATGCACTCGGAATATGAGGTTTTTTAAGCAAACACTTGAAGAAGAGAAGTCTCTTCCCGAAACGTCGTGTATTAAAGCCTCTACTGCTTTTCAAACATTTTTCTACGTTTAAAATGAAGATATGTAGATAATATCGTTATTTTTTTAATATCGTTTGCTTAATCGGGTTAAATAGTATAATTGTTTGAAAGCAAAAAAAAAACAAGAAAAAAAACACTGATGTTACTGAATAGGTTTTGCAAATCATCCTTGTTTTTTTTTTTTTTTGTGGAAACCTTCCTGTGTTTCCTAGGCGTTCTGTGCTAGATCATTCCATCACAAATGTCCCAGACGCTACAATCGATCATTTACGAATTTTAAAAGAAAATTCATGTTTTTTTACTTCTTTTCCTAACATACTTTCGCACAACTTTGTTTTTTATGGCTTGACCGAGGTTTCAATTTTTAAAATGAGCGTAAAACTAGTCATCCACCAATAAATAAATAAAAATCAGATTTTCTTCGAACCGCCTCCCAATTTGTTTTATGAAATTCTAACGGCTTTTTTCTCGCTATGTTGCGATGATAATGCCATTTTTATTGTAAAATAGTGGAAAAGAAAATTAAAAACAGAATGCACAAGAATCAGCATATTTCTCAAGTTGGTAAATTATTGTCACTTTGCGCCTGGCAAGTAAAACTTCTCTGTCGGAAGCCCTGGAGATGTATTACAAATCAAAAATGTTTGAAACTGCACAAAACATTATTCACAGACAAAAAAATCAAGTTTTAAAAAAGTCAGTTCTGGCTGTCTAAACAGCCGTTTATTCTACCCTGAGGTGGTCCAAGTAAAAATACGAAAATAACGACTTTATAACAAGAGTTCATTGCCTTTCATTCCAAGAAGTTTAATCAAAAAGATATTTGACTAAATCTAGAAAAAAATATAGCGAATTTGAGCACCCGCGTCGTAACCTGGGGTTGTTTCTTAGCCCCTCTTCACCGCACAACACGCCACCTGACATGGGTGGAACTTAGTTCAGCGAACAACTAGAGAACGCCGAGTTTTCATCGAAAGGCACTTCAGCAAATAGTCGGCCGCCGCGAAGCGATGTTTACGAGTGGGCTAGGTGGGTTATCATTTTTGTGATGAGCCGCCGCAGACTGTCGCCGCGAAGACGCAGCGTTATGGTGGGAGGCAGTCATAATAAAATAGAAAAATAGGTGCTACTTTTGTGCATTTTGTTGAATTTCGAACAAAATGTTTTATCAACAAAAACTGCATAATAATCAGGACATAGCAAGCTACAAGTCGTTCAAATTGTATAAAACAAATTGTGAAACTTTTCGAAGGAATTGAGATATTTACTGTGTCATTGATTGATACATAGTTTTACGCCCATCTTAGAACTTCAAACCACGCTCACGTAATAAAAAAAATGGGGCGAAAATATTTTTGACAAATCTTAAGGATTTTGGGGTAAAGTGCCCTGAAGTTTCTATTAAAAATCGGAAATAGTCGAGCGCCAAGTTTGGGACCAAAAGACCATTTGATATACCCCAAGCGCCCCGGCCCGCGTTAAAAGAATCATGGGAACGGTGTTCCTCCAGCTCCTTAGTGGCCGGTAATTTCGACGCTATCCTTCGTTACACAGCTTCTGAGCGTAATTCGGAGTAACACTGAACAAGCGCCGGATATACCCCAATGACCTGTGCTATCGCTTTTAAAATTTCTTATTGATTTCATCGTTTTTGATACTGTGCGTGCTGTCCACCCTTCAACCTGGATGAGCTGCAGAAATCTCTTACATTATTATCATTCCCGTACAGATTCAGACACTGATATTAAGTTAGAAATGCTAAAAATGCTATAAAAGGACCCGCGGACTTCAAGCTAAATCTTGGTTTTGTGGTTGTGAATTCTCGGCTTTTTAAGCAATTCTTGCTAAACCAAAGTTCACGAAAATGAAAATATTGTGAAATTTCTGCAGCTGAGCGAGGTTGCAAATCTTCTATTAATTTCGAATGGCCCTGCTACTTTTTTTTTCAGATCTTTCAAGAAAATTACGAGTCTCCTTTTTTTCATATCTATATTACACTATTTTATAGGTACATTATTATAACCATATAACTATCTTTAATAGAAATATATATATATATATATATATATTGTTGCGGTGACGTCTGTACAGTGTATGCAAACATTATACTAACAGGCAGCAAGTATGCAGATCTTTCAATACAAAAGTAGCTCCGACAATCGGTCTATTTTACACAACGCGAGTACGCAAACAACTTGGGTCAAGTTTATGAGATTCCTTAGGTAAATTTAAATACTTAGAGCATACTGACGAAAAAGGCTATTAAACGCATCCAGACATTCATATTATTATTTTTTTTATCGTATGATGTAGTTTTTTATTTGAGGAGGGAATGAAGCATCCTGAGCTCGCGAAAAGCCTACGAGTAGAAAGCGGGATTTATAACCGGCCTACAGGACGACAGAATATCGAAATTTCCGTCGTTTTGGCTGAGCGAACCTTCTCCTTTTGGGAATGATTATAATGAACAGCATTGAGATGTGTTTTTTTTTTCTGCGTTTTGTTTGATGAGTTTACGAAGGTCGCAACCGCGTTCACGAATAGAAAGAGTACGCCGACTTACCTTATCCGACTTCGTCGTTCGAATGCTCGACCGGATTTTCTGTACCACATCTTTTTTCTCGGGACCTGTTCTTCTGGTAGGTTCCGAGAAAAAAGACGTGGTACAAAAAATACGGTCGAGCATTCAAACGACGAAGTCGGATGTAGGTAAGTCGGCGTACTTTTTCGTCGGACACCATGCAGGGAACCGCGCGCCTAGGGTATGATTGTGAAAAGTGTTATATCAGCTATGCGGACTCATGGTGCAACAGAAATAATACATGTGTGAGCATATTTCAGAAAACTATGCGTTTACTTGCTACTTAATTTTCAAGTTCGTGAAATATCGATGCCTAAGGCTAGGTTAGATAGAGTTCTTTGCTTCTCCTGACTTGTCCAAATCTATTACAGCAACCCTTCTATCATTGGAACATCTACTGGCAGCGTCGCTTCCAACGGATATATTTTTAGACAATGAAAAACAAGCACTCGTTCAGGTCAGAGGCTCTAATTGTTTACTTTTATTAGACAACATAATACTAAAGTTGTTTATAGTGTATGGAGCATTCGTGCTAAAACCGGTCCCCACCGATTTATAACCCCCAACTTCGATCAAGGCCGTTCTTGCATTTTCTGTGGTTTTTCATTGACACAATACTTCTTTGCATCAAGATAGTCTTATTTTTTTATCTGATCGATTTGATATAACAAAATAAGCGAGCCAGTTATAACTGTTTGCACAGATATAAACTGGGTTGAAAACATTTTTGTTCTTAATGCGCAATAATTTCTTTTGTCTTATTAAAACACGAAGCCCGCGTGAAGTGATCAAAGGTATCGATTAAATGCGGCAAGACTTTTAGGAAACACCACTTTTGAATAAAGTCAACAAAGCACTTCATTTGGAAGATATGTGTGCACGATTGAGCTTTTACGAAATTGGACTTTTTTCAGAATGGTAACTACCTAAGTGAGTTGCGTGTATATTATAGAAAATAAAAGCGCCAAGACACGAATGACAAGTAGAAAGTCGAAGAATATGTACCTGGAGCGCTCTCTAGTGTACGTCGTTCTTCTACTCGTCGTTCGAGTTGTTTTTGGCGTATTTATTCTCTACATGTTTTTTTTTTATTTATAACTAACCCGTAAGGCCTTTAGCTGTTGGTCTCCGTCTTCAACTTAAGAACAAATAAATAAAGAAACAGTTGTCATAAATAAAATAAAATTTTCGCGGATCCCGAAATACGGGGCGCAAACTCGTGTCCGCTGAAAGTCGGAGACAGTCGTGTTAAGCGTCGGCAGAACTTTCAAATCGGTTTAAAAAAAAAATATTTATCTTTCACATGCTTGCTAAAAGACCCGAAGGCCTTTGTGAAAAATACAGAAAATGCGCGGTACTATCGTGGACACTGTAAGCTATAACACGGCAGCGGCGGCCGTCCCGCACCCCAACGCCTCATAGCAGGCGCCGTCCGAAACCCCGCGCATGCGCCGTGTGGCGGACTCGCTCTTCCCGCCTGCGAGCACACCCTCGCTTTGTCGTCTGCTAGGCACAGAGCAGACGACGCCACAGCGCTTGCCAATTTTCCCTGAACACGGTTCAGCAAACCACCGCGTAAGAGGTGTCCACGGTTGATTCCCTGACTCCGCTGGCTAAGGATGATCATCGCCACTAACTGTAATATCACGGTAGACTACTTTTTTTTTCTTTTTTTATGGGACAAACTTGCAGTTATACTCCGTTTCACTTTATGTCTAGGCGCAGCGGACGCTACGAGACGATAGGGCCAACCAAAAGCGACAAAAGCTCACTTTTTGCGCCTTATTGTGTCCCCCGGTGATGTACTCCGTGACATTGCACCTTTGCCGCTATTTAATTGGCTATGTCGTTTTGTAGCGTACGCTGCATTCGGACTTTAGGTGAAACGGAGTATAAGTCTATTTCTGTATCACACCTGCTGCGCTCATACTGGTTTGCGAGCGCATATTGTAAAAGATGCATTGCGAAATCCTGTTCCTAAAAAAGCAAAAAAAAAAAAACAAAAAAACGTTGACAGGGTAATGCCCTAATGACTCTGCAATCTCCCCCAATCAAAAGCGCCGGTTTAAAATGAGTTTGAGAACAGTTCGCTAGGGCCAGGGTACCAGAGGAGCAGCACTGTGGCATCGCCTGCTCTGCGCCTAGCAGACGACAAAGCGAGGGTGTGCTTGCAAACGGGAAAAGCGAGTCCGCCACACGGCGCGCATGCGCGGAGTTTCGGACGGCGCCTGCTATGAGGCGCTGGGGGTGCGGGACGGCAGCTGCTGCGGTGTTATAGCTAACAGTGTCCACGATAGTACATATGCGGCACAGAGGTATATGTTTAAACGTCATTCACAAATTTAAAATGATACACATGCTTCGAATTCATGCACATCCGTAAAAAAGTGAAACTTTGTACGAAAAGAAAAATAAATGCTGCGAAACTTAGTATTTAAAACATTAAAACAACAGATATTTTTGTTTAAAACCTTAACGCGTCATGTAGGTGTTTGTGATTGTTCCGCCTTGGGAATTGTAGCGGAGTTGATCGACGTACATTAAAAACGTACGTCCCTCAGATTACTCTGACGATAATTGTTTTCTCCAATTGCACGCACTATTATGTAATTTGGTTCCTGTGAGATTTACTGTGACTGGTAACTCCCGTCGCAGGATTGGTCAGTTGATCGGGAACGCACTCTCCATTTAGACGTACGCGTTTTTGTGCGCTATGTGTGGCTAAGGTGTCCTGCGGAAGCCCTATAAGCACTAAGTTTCACTTGAAATAATTAGCTTTAAAGAACTTGCAAGGATTAGGAGGCCGCTCCACGCTAGTTCGTAAGGCTGGAAGCGCCCCGAAAACGCGTGCAGTTAAAAAACAAAACAAAAAAAACAACAAAAAAACACGGAGGTATTTACAAGTTAGTATACACAATGCTGGTTTGGGGCATAATCTTTACATTTATGCATTAAAAATAGACGAGAAAGCAATGTCACTGTGAGGAACATTATGGGGAATGTGGTCGGCGTAGCTTTTCTTCTTTCCCAGGGCTCTAAAATTGGGAGCTCGAACCCTGGACATTGCCGAGGTTTCACAACGGCAATATCCTCAGCCGTTTATTCCACACAGAAGCCTGCACGAAGTGATAATTTGTTTTATTAATTTTACGAAAGGTTTACAAAATGATCTCCGAATATTTAAGTTTGATTTGAAAAATGCAAGGACGTTTGGGATTCTCTGTAATGCCGAATTTGAGCTTAGCTCTTGAGGAGGAGAAGGGTAGGGAAAAAGGGCAGGGTATGCCCTCCGTACCCTCTCCTCCACCTCCTCATAGAAAAGCTTCAACGCACCTTTACTCAAGACTAGCTAGATTGTCTTCGTTATAGTGGCCAACAAAGGCTGCCCAGCCGTGCTGCATCATATTACAATAAAGAGAGTCATACCCCTAGCTTAGTTTTAGCTTTGTGCCCCTTTGTGCTCTCTTACGGTGCCTGGAAACCCCCCTTCCTTCTCTGCCCCCCCCCCCCCCCCCCCTCTTCCGAAGGAGTGTGTGCACGCCACCGCTGCCGTCAGTTGCGAACTGTATGACTGGCACGTTAGCGTTAAACGCAAAGCCCTCGCGAGGGAAGTGTATGAAAAGAGTTGATACGCTCGTGTTCGACGTTGTGCGACGGCAAACAAGTATCAGCATATGGTTTATAAGCATGAATAAATAACAATCAAGGAATACAGTGAGAAGTTAATAACCTGTAGGATCTTTTGTTGCTTGTGTTTCGGAGTCAGTTCGTGCAATACCTGTCCATTTAATATGTTTATATTTTTGTAAAAATATAGTGTTTTGTTAGTCTTACAAGTTAGTTTTAAAAATTCGTGACGCGAAAGCTACACAATTTGGGGATTTAAGTAAGTTCAAAGGGGTAAGAGGGACATAATAATGGTGGGCTAATCGTCACAATACCTGGTATGAGCAACTAAAATTTTCCGGTTAACTTTTACCTAGTTAACCGCAAAAATATTACATATATATAATACGAATAACAAATTGCTGGGCGTTATCGAAAGCCACTGAATGAGTAAATGTTTAAAAGATTTGGAAAGTGGGAAGCTCGGTATTGTTCTCAAGTTATCCATCATAGAATAGGCGCAAGGCTGGCGGCACGGATGACAAGCACGGACTTTGGGTTTCACTATGATGTGCTGAGCATAGAGTTCGCTTAGCAGCAGCTGCGTCCGCCGACACAACGTCGTGAGCAAAAGGCTGGAGGGGAGGGGGTTGGGGGTCATAAGGAAGCAATGCAAGGAAACACAAAGCTAAAACTAAGCAAGCGACACATCGACATTTCGCGCATCCCGATAGAGCAGCACTGCTGAACAGTCTTTCTCAGTTCTGAAGAATCCTGTCTTGGGACACACTGAGGGGGCAGAGGAAGCGAGAGCGCGCGGGGGGGGGGGGGGGGGGGGGGGGGGAGGGGGGGGAGGCGCCAAAAAGCCGATCTCTGACTGGAGCGATTAGTGGGTAGAGGCAAAGCTTCACTGATCTCGTCGAATGCGTTAAGGCTCTGTTATAGACCGACGTTAAGCGCAGAGAACGCCGCGTAGCGAAGAACGTGCTCCTTTCACTGGCCGGCGACCAGGAGCTGGATATCTGCGACCAATTAGTATCCTTTGCTACACTCAACGTCGGAGTATTATAGAGCCCTTAAGGTACGTTTATACTCCAACCTAACGTTGACGGGCGCGGCGTAGCGCTGTGCGCACAAATGCTGATTGGTCGCAGATATCGACTTCCTGGTTGCCGGCCAAGGAAAGGCGCGCGTTCTGCGCTACGCTGCTTACACTGCGCTCAACGTGGGAGTATAAACAGCCCTTTGAGGGCTGTTTATACTCCAACGTCGGCGAAATGAACGTTTGCCGGCACAACACGACTTCCGTCGACCGCAACGTTGCGCCGCGCTGCGATGAGAACCCGCTCGCTTTGCGGTGGCTATGCTGCTCCATTTCGCTTCTCTAAATTCGCACATGCGCACAGGGCTTTCCCGGTGGCGCTCTTCCGCTTCTGCGTCTTCTCTCCAGTGGCGATCGTGGCTCGCGGTCATGTCAGTCGTGCGCTCGGCAAAATCAACGTGCACGTGGACATGCTCAACGGAAGAGACGGCGTGAAAGTGTCCCGACTCTGTCATACTTCTTTGTGTTGTTCTCTACCCTTTTTTGAAGATACCTGCGCACTCTGCCAATCGAAAATCATATCAATGCGCTCCGTTGTTTTTTGTTCCCCGAGGGAAGCAGCACTGACTGGTCTTGAAACCGCAGATGACTCTGACGGCTTCCAGGGCGGTTTCTTTCCTGGTTGTGTCCCTGTGCTCTATCGAGCCCATGTCATTATTAGACGGCCGATCTCCGATCGCCTCGATAAGCCGTTCCGTTTCATTGGTTTTAATATCACTATCGCCTCGCACCATTTTGCGATTTTGCTTTTTGGCACTCGACACGCACTCGCGCGAGGGCTGCTGGCATAGCCTCCGTCGGCGCCGTGCTCGTCTGACCTTGAACGCAGAGCATGACCAAGTCCATCGCAAGCTACGCTGTCGCACATCGAGCTGTGCTGCCCTGCGCCGCGTAGAACTTGACGTTGGTGTATAGACATCCCGTTCGCAGACAACGTCAGCAAGCGTGAACGATCCCGTGCGCTTGTTGTCGTTATGACGGTGTGTAAACAGGACTTCAGAATGCGAGACGCGACGGCGTCCAAGCGCAGTTTCGTTTCCTTCTCTCCCTCAGTTCCTGCCACCATAGGGAGAAATCTCGCATAATGAAGCACGACTATAGTTGGCGACAGGTTAGGAGTGAAGAGGAAGCTCCTCTCACCTTTCTTTCCTTTAGCAGGGCAAACGCTGGAGAGAAGGCAACCTCCTCTCCAGCGTTCGCTCTGCTGAAGTAGAAAGTGGTAGGATAAGCTTCCACTTTGTTCTTAACCTGTGACCGACTATAGCTCAATTCGAGTGTAGATTTGTTGTCGCTTTTCTTTATTATAGCCTCGTCCCACTAGAGTGACAAATACCGATTTTTGTCCGACGACTCAAAGAAGTTCCGTGTCGCTGATGCTGTCCCACTGTTTTGCCCGTGTCCCACTAGAGCGACAGACAGAAACAAAAGACAGCGACAAGCCTCAAACCCATCCAGCATGCTCGCGATGGGAACTTTGGCAGGTGTTTAGTCGTTCAGTGCTCGTGAAGTAAGCACGAGCGATTGCAAGCCTGCCAAAGATACCCTCGCATGCATGATGCTCTTGTTTGAGCATAGCCTCCTTTATTCTACAAAGCCTCTCAAATCGCGAAAGACTCTGGTATGAGGCTTGTCGCTGTCGCTTGTTTCTGTCTGTCACTCTAGTGAGACACGGGCATTACGACCACCACCCGTGACAAACGCCGACAAGCGCCGACAAACGATCGACGACGGACAAGTTCTTGTCTGTCGTTGGACTTGAAGCGCAGCAAGCATTCCCACCGAGGAACATCTCTCGGAGACAAATTTCTCCACCTCGCCCGCTTGTACCATTTGTTGCTTCTCATCCCACCTTTCTACCCTTCCCGCCGGTTCTTCAGTGGCTCGCTCCGCCGCTCGACCCTCAGAGAAGTCCTTGGCGACCACTGACCATTCCCGCAAGTTCCCGTCGCTCGATTACTCGTAGTGGTCGCGTGCGCGTCTCGCCTGCTGCACGCGCCCGCTGGCCGCGCCCGCTGGAATTCGCTGTGGTTGGTTTTGCCCGCAAAAACTTGGTGCGCCAGGTGGTGCTTCAAGACACCGAGGTCTATGCCCCTGCATCAGGAAGGATACACCCATGTTCGAGGACGGACCAAAGTAAGACCGCTCAACACGAAGTAGGGCACGACGTTCCGCGGCAAGCCATTCCGGCAGACAAGAGACTTGTCATGACGCTCTGTGATAATCGGGATGCCGTACTGTCCCCAAACCACGCCTTCCCTCGATCATTCGGATATGAAATAATAAATATCCTCAAAATCGGCGTAAACTTCCTTGCAGCTCGCCTAGAATGCCTCGAACGACCAAGGAAATAAACGATTCGGGAACTCTAGTTCGAACAAAAGTTTGGTGTCGATTGTCACATCTGTTTGCGGAAAGTCGCAAACGGCAAATGCAGACAAGCGGAAGCTTTAATCAAGAAATAAACTAGTCGTCTCCACATTCACTTTGTTTGTTGGTTTGTTTTACGCCCAAAGAGCAAAACACGAAAAGCGCGTCGCCAGACTCTGTTTGTCTGTGCATTTTGACGTGTTTTGTTGACAACGCCAGTTCCACTAGGAAACAAGTTTCCTTCTCCCATTATTCCGCGTCGTGTCCGCCAGGTGGGACGGCCGACTCCGAGAATCGGGCTGTCAGCCGGTGTCGGCAGTCGCTCGTTGTCGGGTGTCGCTGTAGTTTGTTGCTGTTTGTCGCTCTAGTGTGACGCAGTTATAAGAGCTCATACGTCTTTCAATGTTTTGTCAGCACTAGTTAGCTCAAGTCACTGTGAGCGGAGAGTTTAAAGTAATTAAAAATATTTACATAGATATTTCGTAAGCATTGACGTCCAATTTTGTCACATTAAAAAAAAACTATTTGCTGTATTTCTGATATTATAACATAGCTGCCATAACAGATAAGCAGATTGTTTTATATATTCTTAAAAAAAAAACATTTAAAGACTCGAATTTTTACATATTTTGATACGTTTTATATTAGGTTGTTTCCATGGTATGAAAGTTGCAAATAAGTCTTTAAAATGTCTTTACATGATTGTTGTGTAGCTCCTTTTTTATAAAATGTTTTATCGGAATATTTAATATTCACGGAACGTGCTATAAACATTTCATAATATTATTAAAATAAATAATCAGTATATGCTATCCTCGGTACGAAAATGGCAGCTGTGAAAAGGGCCGTAGTGAATCATTGGCAATGTCCACGGCCGAGCTTCTTAGTTTTACATCTCTGGGAAAAAAAGGCTACAGTATCATAAATAGCTGAATTTTCCTCCCAAGATCTTCGTTTATACACATATTTTTTTACATAAAATAAAACAAAAATATGGCACGGAGCATCATTGTATGAAGTGTCGTGCAACCACACAGTAAACATTTTCAAATATTGTGGCCTGTTGCATTCAAGGGTGTTGAGGCGAATATTAGGCGATATCCCCTCGCAGGATTTGCGGACGTTTAAATAATCGCGGTGCCGCTTTTGCAAATATATTTTCGCGTTTTTGGTATGTGAAAATCAAGTACCGAATGATCAATTAAAGAACATAACCAAATGAGAACAGAAAAGACGTATGTGGAGAGTTGCAATATAAACAAACAATATAAATATACATGCTGTTTTTAAATAATTTAACACTACACATGCAGTCATAATCGTCTTTATAAATGTAACACTGTTTTGATAAGTAAAGTCAAGCCAGAGCTCATCGCAGCGAACGAAACATGTTGTAACGTAACTTCCATTATTTCCGTAGACGGGGCCGAACACGAAGTCGTTCCAGTCGCCGCACCTTGGACAGCTGGAAGAGAAAAATAACAGTGGTTCTTTTCAAAGTTTATCTTCATTAAAGGAGGCGCACACTGATGGCAAGAGAAGCGTTCCACCTTTGGTGGTACAAAAGAAAGACTTTCATGCAAGACTAGACGCGGATGAGAGTGACAGTTCCTCCGATATTATAAGCTCAGAAGCCGACGAAGGAAGTTCGGACAGCGAACACGAGAGTGATGAGTTAGAGGAAAGCTCCGAGCCACAGTCAGAAGACGACGAAGGATCTTTTAGCAGCGACGGCGAATTTCCGGAAAGCACGGTTGAGTCCTCCGAAGAGGAAGAGGATGACCCATCGGAAAGCGTAGACGACGTCTTCGGGGAGGCCAGTGAGGTTCAAGAGGAAAGCAGCGAAGAAAGCGAAGAGAAGGATGTTAATGATGCAGAATTTACCGAACCTCCAAGAGATAGCGAGATCGATAGTGATGAAACGTAAAACAGTTATTCGCACTACCTTCAGAGAAAGAGAAAATAAACAGTTTTTAGGTGGGCTTTCTGAAATACTGATTTTAGACACATGAACGGAGAAGTTGCGTACGACGCTTGAGATTGCGGAAGTGGTATAGGCGCTTAGACCAATGTGGTGCTTCACACATTTTAAATACTGTGCAGTCTTCGCATACTCCGCGGGAGTAAAACAGCAGTAACCAAGGCGATTTGCTCCGAAGAATTAAATGCGCACTCTCTCCCCCCCTCCCCCCCTTCAAGGAAGGGTGTTGTTTGCCTCCCCCCCTTCAAGGAAGGGTGTTGTTTTGGGGGACCGCATATCATGTATCAGGATGTTTGGAGCCTACCGAGATCTACTCACCGGCGGGAACGCGGCATCAGGCAGATACTCCCAATTTCCGTACTAGTTCCCGTTACCCATTGCCGTACTAATTATGCGCCTCTTTCCTTTCTTCATAACTTGCCCGCATTGCCTAACAACTTCGTCTTCGACCACATTGGCACTCATTGTTTGCTTAACAAACATTATAGACTCATTTTGTTTATATAAACGTGTTGATTTAGTTTGGTATTGTATTGTGTTCTGTATGTGCGGGTAAGCTTTTTGTCTGTTGTCCTTGACAAAATAATGTTTTAATCAAGTTCAAAGTTCGTCCCCTGTACAAAAAGAGGAGGTATCTTCAGATGGAATTTGTAGCCCAGAGACAAACCGATCGGCACTGGTCAAGCTGGGTACCTGAGGTCAGTTGCTACGACCGCGGGCAGACGCGCAGATCACTTCATGTGAGTCCACCCTGCTGTTTTTGCTTGCACTTTAAACAGGCTGTCCTGTTGAGTGAACGTTTGGACAACGTGTTAACACGGGTTGAGCATATTTTCGGAGACCCTGTCACTTTCAAATTTGAGCAGCTGAAGAGAAAGATATGTTATCGTCGTCGGGAAACCATTTTTGACTTTTCTTGTGACAGTCGGAGGAGACGCTGTCATTGCGCTGACGGTGTGGCGAACGCGCAGAGCACACTATTATCTTGATTGCTAACGTTCTTTCATGTGCGGTTTGCTGTCGCTTGAAACGTGCTTCTACAATGTGTTGCTGTGTTGAATTTCCAAGGGCCACTATACCACGGCACATCAACAAGGAACTGTTAATGAAAACGTTGACATGATAAGAGTTTACGCTCTTTATTGCATTATACTAACGCTGCTGTTATGATTGACTCCAGCGCATGAAATGGTTCTGTGTTTTATGCCATTCCCATTTCTAGTTTAAAAGGGGTATGAAGTCCATCAACTGCACCTTAAAACGTTTTGTGCAGCGCGTCGCTGTGCTGAGAGACATTGTTTAGAAGATGCGACTGACGATTTTGCCGTCACACCGATCGGTGTACTATAAGCGACCTTTATTTTCGTTAGGTTAAAGTTTTCTTGAATTTCACGGGTGAAAATTCTGCAAAGAAAATATCACGCGAATGTATCAGCCCATGGTAATTATTATAGCACATTACTATACGTTTCGTTCCACCTTACAAATGAAATACTGGCGGTTACTGAATTTTATGAAATTTTCAACGTGCACTCTTGTCCTCGCCGTATCCGGGCGCAAATTCCGCGCAAAGCGTCCGACTAAGTTAAATATTTATTATTTAGAAGGATCTTCACAAATATTAAAGTATTATAGCACTTCTTTTTTGCACCCTAATGTCTTCATATTTATATAAGGGATACAAATATTTTGATAATTTAGGTGAAAATGCGTACAGAGTAGCTACGATCCCTGCTTTTTGTAACGGTATTGCGAAGATGAGCAAACTGATGGATTTCAATTTTTTTGTTCGTACAATCTACCACTGAGCAATGGCGGATGAGCTTTCAACCTTCACGCTGTGGTAAAAGAATCTCGATCGCTGGCGACCCATGCAGCCGGGAGGGGGCTTTTAGAATTGCCCTTGCTCCCCTCCTTCCCCCCCGCCCCCCCCCCCCCCCCCCCCTTTCCCGATGGTGACGTACACGGGCAGAAGAAAGTAGGAATATTTCAATCTTGCCAGGAGAGAATCGCGTACTAGGGTTTACACGACCGGCGTAATGTGAAGGTGCGGTAACTCTCAAAAAAACAAAAAAAGAAAGCAAAACTATATAAAGTATTTTTCCCACGTAAAAAAGGGACAGTTATTCGGTCCACCGATCTTCAGCCAAACAGGAGGCTATGAATCAATATATTGGCCAACCTGGGAGCAGAAGGAAGGACTTCCCATTGCCAATTTTATTGTCGTTATTCTTGCGACACCTTTCTCGGTGCAACATCCGGCAGTTTGATACTTTAGATTCTCAAGTATCCAACTGCCGGATGTTGCAGCGAGAAAGGTGTCGCAAGAATAACGACAATAAAATTGGCAATGGGATGCCAGACTTGTACAGGTTACTGAAAAACAGTAAGGAATAGCATTTACAATTACTCGAGGCTATATTGTAATTTATTACAATTACAACTACCCTCCCATAAAAGTAACTGACCGTTACCCCAAAAAGTAATCCGTTACTTTCGTGGTGTTACTTTTAACATTATTCTCTTCAAGTAAGAAACAAAGGGAAGAGGGTTATTCAAGTTCTTATTGTTGCCACCTGTTCCATTTAATGACCTTGAGTATTTTGAGCAACAGCTGGCTCTCGGAAGTCTCGTCAGACATTTTGCGTTATTTCTTACTCAATATGTCGACTGCTACGCTGAACACCATTTGAGCTGAGGCACCGGATGGGAGTGCCATATTGTTAACCACGAATGCTTCATGCTCTGCATTGAGCTCCTTCAGCGAAGCAATGGAAGTACTATTTACCTCGAAGATAGAACAAAGCTTCGTCGCTGCAGTCACTGCCTGATATCCGAGAGTTTAGTAGTAGATCGTTCTGATACCCCTGGTGCCTCTGATAACGATATGATGCATGCGCAGAGGCGGCGGTGGGGTATCGGGTATTGTTATCGGAGTCATCGGACCAATCTACTAAAATTCTCCATTTCTAAATCACGAAGCTGAGGAAGTAATCATACATCTAGCCAAAACTAGAATAAGAATTGATTTATGTCCTTCTTACTATACCGACATATATCGCCAGACAATAGCAAAACATAGTTGTTACAATAAGGTGATAATCAAATAATAAATAAGGTTTGGCTCGATATTCTTCTTTCTTTGGTTCAGAACAGGTTGAGCCTCGGTTGAGACGTTGGTGAATAAAAAAAAGTTTCCAGTTTATAAATATAAGCAATGCTTGTTGCACGAATAAAAAAAATATAGGCAATAAAAAAAGGACACTCACAACAATTAATTAGAACGTCGGTTAAAACAAGAAAATGTAAAGCAGGCTTGCCGTGTGTACCTTTCTTGGTGCCGTTCAAAAACTCACGGAGCACGAACCGACTGCAGTTTACTCCGGTGTTCTCCAGATAGACGTCCGCTGATGCCACGGGCAGCGAAGTGCAGAGTACTAAGTAAGCCGCGCTATCAGAGAAATATAGTACTACGTAAAGAGTGGCTACTAAAGCCGTTTCGCGGCCCAAGAGTTAGGGACTCTATGGCCGTTAGTATGCGCAACAGTGCCACTGATTCTGAACATTTGTCAGATATATAATATGAATAAATAACTTCGTTGTATAGAGTAAACTTTTAAATTTATTACGAACTTTGAGAACTTTCAGAAACAAACTCAACGGCTGTGGCTATGGCTGCGGCGCGACGGTTGGCTTCGGAGTCGTGGACTCGACGGAGGGCGGATACTTCGGCTACTTGGTCTGCGTCTCTAGACTCGTCGTGTGGGTTGAGTTGGATCCGGGGCTTGTTGTCTCGTGCGGGTTTCTAGTCAATCTTCCATTGCGGTCATGCTATACGCTATACGTAAGAATTATTGTGGCTGTAGTTTCTTTGTTGACGGGCATTTGCATTCGGTCACTGAATTTAGAAACCACTGGGCCCAGCGGCGTAACTAGGAGGGGGGGAAAGGGGGGGGGGGGGGGGGGGCAGGGGGGTACAAGTGCCCCGGGCGCCACTTGGGAAGATGGAGCCGAGCCGAGTCCACCCACACTAATAATATAATGATGATGATGACGACGATGTCATTATCACTATCATCATGAGGGGAGCGAAATTTCATTTGCCATGGGCGCCGTCATATCTATACTCCGCGACAACTTTTCTTGGCAATGCAGTGGAAGGTACAGGCCCGCGTCCCCTCTCCCATTTTGAGTGTGTGCGGGCTCTCCTCCTCTCCCCGGAAATGGGGGAGGAGGAGCGCCTGCGTACACTCAAAATGGGAGAGTGGACGCGGGACGTACCTTCCACTGCATTGCCAAGAAAGGTTGTCGCGGAGTATAGTTACGCCACTGGCCGGGCCAGATTGTTCTTCTATTTTTGCTGCATTAGACACACGGTCGTATGTGCAAGCGCTTTTCATGGAACTTGGACGGTAATTTTTTTAAATGCACTCCATCATATTGCATTTGTCGTTGTAAGTCTCGCTGTAATACAGTATTTTTTCCAGTGTTGCAATGTTGACGCGTTATTCATACATTTTGCATGTGTATTCTTATTTTTTTAATGTATGATTAACATACATCACTCCTTGTCTTCAGAGTTGATGTTTGTTTTGCTTGTCATAGTTGGGTGATTTCAGATAAGATTGACCAAAGGATGGCTAGTCGACATTTTCAAATCAACTGATGTTTTTATATGTTATTGTCTAGTGTCTGGTATGAACGAATCCAAACTTAGTTTTGACTAGAAAAAATACTTGGGGACAGGAAAAATCGCAAGGCATGAGGTGGTGGACAGTTGCATTAACGCGCACTGATGGAGGGGGCCCGTTTGAGAGTGAATAACTAAAGCGATCACATTAGGAGAACTCTAATACGTTTTAGGCGCACACTATGGGTATAGCTTGCTTGTGATATAAAGTAATCATATTTATTTAAAGTTTATTTATTTTTCTAAAAATTGACAAACATGCCTGCTCGAACGACAAATGGCAAACTTTGGAGGTCTGTATCTCATGAAATAATTTAATCATTACGATATCATTTGCAGATATTATTCTACTAATATATAGCTAATATTTAAAAAATAACTAAGGTATCTGTGTGATACAATAGTTAGGATATATTTAGTCAAACATGAAAAAAAAAAATCAAACAAAGAAAAATTCCGATGCGAATAAAAAAAAAACACCACCCTGGATTTTTTTTAAATTTAGGTAACCTGTTATACTCTATTTCGGCATTCATTTCCATTAAAAACATGTTGTATCATTTTA